AATAGCTTCGTCGGTTTCGTTATTCCAATCAGTAGAATTTAAATTAATCACTCTAACTGGTAAAGTTGGCTCAGTCTTGAAGCTAGACGATCTGCGATGCTTATTTCATTTATTATATTCTAGGCGAGTAAGCGAGTGCCTCAAAACCCCAATTATCAACAAAGCATTAGAAACTATAAGTAATTCTTGAATAATAACTTTTTCAACCTTTGGATAATTTAAGGTCTTATGTTGTAGTCCTCCCATAATAAAATAAGTTGGTCAAACGAGGCCAACAAATTTTACTCAACCAGGCTTTCTCCTTCTGGCTTGACCGCAGTTTCGAATTCGTCCGGATATCAAGATACCCTGAAACAGGATTCGAAACCACATCGCAAGCATCGTGGTGATGCTTTCCCTGTCTGCTGTAAATCCACATGGCGACTGCTGCCTTTAAAGAAAGCCACGTCTCCTTCAAAATATATTCATAGTAGAATTTCCGACGAGGCAAATTTTCATTTACTACTACAATCGACAATTTTACTAATATTCACCATGGAAATGACTAGTATATTTCTCCTGAAGCATTGTGACTCTTCTAATACACTCACTCCAAAAACAATTAGCATTGTCTCCCCAACAATATTATCTTATGAGATTCTTCGAAACCCTTTCACTCTTCGTATTTATAACCTAATAAAAATTAATAGAAAGTATATAATTGCCTCGTCGAGAATCTCAATATGGATGCGATTCTAGAGAGGCCTGGCTTGACTTAAAATTCACACCTTCGCCGTGACCCACTGGTACCTGTAGCTTTATAGGTCACGGCGTAAGTTTAAAAGCCGTTGATAGTGTTGATGAGATTGTGAGGCGAGGTCAAGGCTAAAGTACAGTCCAGTTTATGTAAAAAAAACAGTTATAAAGTTAGGGCTAAACGAAATTAAATGACATTGTGTTACCAATTTTTTCAACTTGGGAAAAACTCCATTATCATTAATTTCCCTAGGCTTACTACAGTTCATATAGAGGAATAAGGAGACTCATGTTTTGACTATATTTATCTGAAAATATAAGGTTCTAGAGACTGCATTAAGCCTTCAAGACGGCTTTACAGCCCTATAAAAAAGTCAGCAAGAAGCAGGAAATGAAGTGCAAAAATAAATTCGTTTATAAAGCACAAGTAGATAATATGTATAAAGTTGCGGAATTTTCCCCGCCTTACCGTGGGACCTTCAATTAATTACTTACAACCAATACCCAAAATGGCTTTTGGAAAGCAGAAAAATGTACTTTGGCGGGCCGAATTTTCTTGTATTAATCTAAGGACATAAAACTTATGTTTATATTAAGTTTAACAAGTGTACCCAGGGACTGCTAGTGTGATTTCCCAGATGCCGTTCAACCCAAATTAGCATTGCTTCCGAAGCTTTTTTTGTCATTCTGACTGGACTGCAGATTCGAACTTATCAGGATCCCATCAGCACTACAACGGGATTCAGAATTTGGTACTGTACAAACGGAGACCAATGGATCACAGAGTAGTTGCTAGCCTCAAGAAAATTCAGGCCGCTCCCCTCTTAAATTTATTGGTAGTTTCGCGAAGAGGTAAACTTGAATTTGCCAAAACATTTGACGACATTACTTACTCTTGATCAAAGTATGTTTTGAAACTGTCAGTGGTTCTTGAAATAGAATTTTATTCCTTCTGGCAGGCCCACTTTGGGAGGCTAGGCATTCCAGACATTCCTCCACTACTAGTATGATCTCTATTCAGTCTTCACAACAAGCCGGCTTAAAAAGTGAAATATGCCTTGAATACTTGAAAATATTTCACTAGTTATTTCCGCCATTATTAGATGTCTGCTGAATAACTAATATTTGGGATAGGTTAGAAATTTTGAATTTCTTTATATATAGCACCATAAATCTCTTGTCTTTGAAAATTCAAATCACTATGTATAAATTTTTAGTCCTATAAAATGCTTTTCAAAATCTTCAGTTGTCTTTAGGCTCAAACGATTCGTCTTAGATCCAACCGTCATTTTAGCGGTTTTCATTATTTAGATGCGCAAAATGCAGCACTTTTTATGTTTACAGCAAGATTTATGCAAAGGAGAAAAAAACTTGTTTCTTTTGGCACATTTTTCTTAGAACTCGGTTTACATATAGGAACTTGTAAGATGTATCTGGCCTTGTCCCAGTTGCATTTTGACTCACCATCTTTCTTCACCGAACCATTTGATTGACAAAAATAAAAACTTTTTGAACCCTTTAGTCAGCATTGACGGTAAAAATAGCCAGACAAATGAAACACTTCCGGATACTTATGGTACTTATAGGTAATTATAGGTAGCATATAAACTATGAAGAAAATAGGATTAGTGCTAATTGCATAGAATTTTTTCTCCGTAATGCATCACAAAAAGTGCGTTTTCTTATGGTCTGGTCTCAAACTTAGATTCTTCATTAAAGCTGGCGACTAGGCCTGAGAGGGACGTAAATTGTTACTCACTCTGAATAAAAACTCAATTTAAGGTGGCATGATGAAGTTAAATGCTACAGCTGAAGCAAATTTTCTCTTAATTTGATTGTATGAAGGCTAACTGCAAACTCGCCAAAAGTAATTCTAAGCGTGAAAGGTTTAATTGCTACTGAATTGGTGAATTAATTTAAAGGTTACACCAATTTGGAACTAAGCCCTTCTTAACAGGTTTCTTGTGTGTGATGGTTGTATTGGCAAAATATATTTTGGTAGCTTAACAATTCCAATTCTGTATTGTTAAATAGATGTCTGAGGGCAAAGGCTTGGACGAGGCAGTGTGAGAATAGGGCATAGTTGAATCTCACAAATAAATTATACGTGAAAAGAGAGGGAAAGAAAAACGTTGGGTTTGTTTTTATGCTCAAAAGGGGGACTCTAAATTGAAATTATGAACCGTTTGCAGGTAACAGTAAAGGAAGTGAGAGTTATTTAAGTCAAATTCGCTTAAATATGCCTCAATCTATCATTAAACACCTAAGTGGTTTTAAAAAGTCTGAGACCAGTGATGCTCTTCCCAGTCATGGCATGAGATTCTCAATGAGTTGAAGCACATTTTGTGAATAATTAAGCGAGAAAATTTGCCCAGCTTATTTTCATAGAATATTAATTTGGCTCAAGCAGGTCTGAACGTTCGTTCCAACTGCAGGGCAGAAGAAGCAATGGATTAGCAGTAATAATGAGTTATTTTTAGGCATTTAAAAGAGCGTACACTTATGGCGGCTTATCTTCTCCGAGCTTAACTGCCGTATTGACTCCGTTAAGGTCTTGTCACAAGCAGGTACGGGATTTAAACTATGAGTGTTCGGGTTAAGAGACGAATATGCTACCCACTAAGCCACAAGTTTCTAGGCCGATTGTGTTACACGACGAACATGAAATTCGCACCAAAGTCTCCCTCAGCTCAAATTATTGGGAGAGGAATTTCGTGCTGACAGAGCAAGGGATGTCTACTATCAGACTCAGTACGCTATTAATTAGTGTATCTAACAAGGATGCCGTTTAGAGGCTATCAGAACTAGTTTAATGGGAGGCTTGTGTTAGTCTATAGATGTTAAATTATTAACAAAAGGATGTAAGTCATAAGAGACTCGCTTTGCCTTGAAAATTATGTTTGATTAACAACATTCAAGGTCTGAGGCCGTATAGTTTAGCGATAAATTTTTCGTCTCATCTAACTGTGGGAAAATTAGACTATCATTCTTCAAGCCACCTGAAGCTGGCTAGGGTCAATAATTGATGGTCTCGAAGACAACTTAGAACAACAATAAGGAATTTTTTGTTTTTTGAGGTTTTCGAGGCTACCAGTAAATCAGATATATGATATATTTTCACCTTATTTTGTTTAATGTGATGAAGGATTGACTGGTAGTCGAATTTTCCCACAATAACATGAGTAGAACTTACGCTTCCATTGAAATACACTTAGACTTGCCTTCCCAAATGGTGTTCTCATCGAATGAGGACTGCAGCTTCGACTTCGCCTAGGTCTTATCAACACACCCAGCGGTACTTAAACCATGGCAGTACAGTGCATACATTGGACAGGTTAACAACTATGCAACATTGCCAAGAGTACACATTAGTCAAAGGGCAGATGTGAATTTCAAGAAAGGCCAGGCCAGACTAAGCCGAAATTGCGGCCCACCTTAGATAAGAATACTTTTCGAGAAAGCAAGACTATGTGAAATTTTATGGAAAAGTTATGTCTACTCATAACATTGTGGGAAAACACAACTACCAGTCCTTCGTTATCTTAAACGAAATATGGTGATAGCAGCTCATATGCAAAATTATAATCATCAGCACCAACCCCTCGAAGGAGCATACAATTTCAGGACGAAAGTTCTCATATACGCATGTACCTGCATAGACGTACATGCATGCATCCCTAAAAAATCCTTTTTGTTGAAAAGTATAAACGGAGAAAAGTAGTTTTTACAAACCTCTTGATTTAAAAATGTCGAACTCCCTTATATTTTAAGTATGAGTGTGTAATAAAAAGATTCGCGCGTCAATTCTTCAGGAAAAAGATGGCGGATTCCTTTTGGACTACCGACTAGCGCGTATTTCAACTTTAACGATAGGTTCTATGGACGAATTCAGGAATGTGTAATGGAATCCTGCACAGCTCTTATATTTGCTAATAATGAGAAGGATGGCCCGTCTGAAACAGTAGGATTAACACAAAACTTTAGCTATATTCGTCAAATGTAAAGTTTTTAAATGGATTGTGCGCGAACGCGGCCAAAGGCAGGTCTAGACTCGGGACCTGATAAATCTTTCAAATTCCAGACTTTAAGGAAGGCATTCTTCACCTGAGCGATAAAAATTTAAATGTTCATTTTCTATTTATAAATGCTCAGTTGGGCCTTCTGACGAACCTAATTAGGATTCGAGCACAAAACCTTGAACAAATCAACATGATCAATTTTCCCATGCTGCCACACGAAACTAGAATATGGAAAATCGAATTAACTTACGCGTTTTGTGGACGATTGTCAAGGTGGGTAGAAGTCGTCCCAGCATTGGATTCTTTAGGAGATGAATCAAGAGCTTGATTACCCCAGCCTCGCAAAGTAAGAGGTTGACTCGCATCCGAATCGCCCATTTTTGCGACACTTTTTGATACAGAAGAGGTATCAGAGCTTTGATATGTAAGAAGTCTTTGTTGGGCATAGACCTCACACAATAGCCCAGAACGACGGCAGACAGGTTCGTAATGGACTATCCGTTTCCTTGACTCTAGTGTACTAAGCTTGAGTGGAGATCGATCCGTTGTCCCACTTACATTATTGTCAACCGGAATGCGTTTTAGCTGGCCCGAGTTGTTCTGGAGACAATGAGAATTTGTATCCGCAAATTGTGTATGAAAAACGCTTGCGTGAGTTAGTCCGCAAGCCCTCTTTTTGTTTGTCTTTCGCAATTTATTACTAGAGAGGCTGTCTGCAGACTGTCTCATGGATGAAGATGCATTAGACAGACGGAGACCGTCATGCGAAATTGTCGAAAGATGTGTTAGGTTTAGCAGATGAAGCAGGTCTTGTATCAGGCTTCGTTTGACATGCCCATCCACAGGGCAATCTTTCGACAAAGCAGGATTAGAGTTAACTTCCAAAAGCCACGGACGCATTGAAGAATCAACGAGGATGTCAAAACCGAGTAGTTCAAACGAGTTAGGATGCTACACAAATATAGAATAAATCATCTCTTTGTCAAATTTTTAAGATACATTGGTAATTTTAAATCTAGGGACCAAAACAAGACCAATTTTCCCCAGCTCGTGGAGAGAACTAACAGGAATTTAAAACGAATTCGAAATTTCTATGCTCTACATGTTTTAGTTATTGTCAACTTGCAAATCAAAACTTTAAGGGTTAATCTCGTCTAAAACGAGATTAAAGCAGATAAAAGAAAATATGGAATTATTATTTTGCCGAAGAAATGGTCGATGATTATGGTCTTGGAGATGCTATTTAACTAATTATATTCTGAAGGCCATATCAAGCAAATACTCACTCCGCACAGTGGCTGATATGCGATTTCAAGATGTCCTAAAAGCACGGAGGCTATATACTGATCGCGCTTTCTACTAATTGCTAGAGAATATCCTTTAATTTGTCCCCAGCATGCTGACCAAATTGTAGCTATAATGCCTTTTTATTCAAGAGCTTTAATTGGTGACCCCCTGCCGAGCTTGTATTTCCTGTTTAACAGGCAGCCTCTTAGCACAGGATAATAACAATCGCATATAGC